AACAAATACCAGCGTCCGTGAATTGAATTATAGCATTAAAGTTCATTCCTCTGGATAAAGAGCAAATTAATATTTTACTTACTATCACTCTTAAGACTTTCCACCACAACTTATTTTATTTTGTCTTGATCTAGAAGACTTGCATGTTTTATAAGATTATCTTCAACTAACAACAAATGTCAACACCTGCTTAGTAGGACATCTAGCTTTGTAAAGAGAGATTCTTACAGATATGGTTTGAACCCAAGAACTGTTACACACTAGGCAACTGCTCTAACAACTGAGCTAAAGGGTTAACACACTTAACATTTACTAGTAAGTCACTTTTTATCAACTTAAATTATTAAATTCTTCCTTTTTTTACAAATGAGGTCTGTCGTCTGGCCTAATTTAACAGTCATGGGATGTCTACTAGTTGGGTGTCAATGTGGTAATATATTTTTTGCAGTATAATTCCCCACCTCAGGTTTTAACCTGAGACCTATCACACATCAGGAGAATGCTATGTCAACCAAGCTAAACAGTTAACCCACTAGTACATGTTAGTAAGTCATTTTTTTACAACTCAAACTATTGCACTAAGCCATAACAAATGTAATTATGATAATGGTTCCAGCAAAGACTGAAATACCAATTATTTTAGACACAAGACAGATGCAGTTCTTCCACATTCAAAAGCTTATTATATACTTTGTAGTAGAAAAGAAAACCCAAATGAATCAGAAGGTAAGATACTGAAACCTAGACAATCAAATCAATCCAACCGTCAGATGCAGAAATATAATCAATGCCCTCTAACATTCAAATTTACAAACTAAGAAATGATAACCCAATGTTCAGGAAAAAGTAAAAGCCTGTTGCTCAAGTATGTAACATAGCAGTAAAGCAAAAAAAAGAAGAAGAGAAAGAGAGAAGAATGAGAAGATAAACTAAAATTAGAATCTATAGTTTGAACTGTAAAAGGAATAACCCCACAAAAAACACCTCAGAAACAGAAATGAGGCTGAACTGGAATATGTTAGTCAATGTAAGACATCTTCCAAGAGGTTAACAGGGACCTTAGCATTATTTAATGTCAATTTCAAACCTCTTTTGTTTTGAGAAGGGAAGGCAAAAAAAAGTTAAAATTCAATGAGTTTCTGCTCATGTTTTGGAAGGCAAACATAAACACAACCATAGAGATTGGTACTCCATGCCATTTATAGCACTCTTGGATTAAAAAAAACAACTAGCATCTAGAAGTCAACAAGAGCGAAAAGTGAAGGAACATTTAATGACCAGCAAAGAAACAATATGACATTCCATAAGAAGAGTATTGATTATCAAAAGTTATGTCCTTATGCCTAAAAGACTGCAACCAGGCAACAGTAAGAATGAACCTAAAAGTCAACAAAAATCTAAAAAGTTGGTATTATATGTGTGAAGGGCATTTCACACATTCACAAGAGTGTGAGAAGAGGAATATGTACCTGTATAGGAAGCAAACTTATGAACAACATATGTTTGAAAATTCCTATCACACTGAAAATTTAATGGAGAACAGAAACAGTACAACAGAATGATGCTCTAACACAGCAAGAGAAGCATTTTGGTGATATTTCTAAATAATCTCTTTACAGAATAATAGCAAACAGCTTTCATACCTATACTAGTTTTATGGGACACATCAGATCTCAAGATTGTCAACCAACTACATTAGCTCGGGAATTTCTGAAGAAAGTTGCAAGTAGGAATAAGTGGGAAATAAGCCCATGTACCTTTTCCTAAAAAGTGTAGAAATAAAGATATTTTTTGTTGAGCACAACATGAGAGTGCTACCATAAAATGGCCTATGGAAAGGGGCCTGTCTTAGATTCTAAGGATCTGGTGGAAGTTGCATACACAGAGGGCTAAGTAAATTATATTAACATAATTCTGAATATGCAAGTCAGCAGGCCATGTGCCAACTACAGCCAATATAAAGTTGTGGTGAAATGGTATATATCAGAACTACATTCTGACATTGTTGGTGCTTTGTAGGTAGTGTGATGCCACTGAAATTTTACCACTTTTGAGAAGTGTATGCAACAACCCTTTCCTACACAAAATATTCATAAACTCAGATCATAAAGATGTGTTCAGATTCAGGATTTGGAATTTTCAAAATTGTGATATCCCTTTTACTTAATTGCATTACAAAACAAGATTAACTGGGGGCACCATGATCATTCAGAAAGAGACCAGCAACAAGTTGTACCCCAGTCATGGTAAACAAAGTGAATCCATGAACAAAAAGGTTAGTGGCAAAAGCCATCCAATCACGAATAGTGACTGAATGACACATCCATTCAACAGTTGCATACCTCAAACAGCTGCCAAATGACAAGGGCATTTGTGCCATTTCACATGAAAACATACCAGTCTAATCACCAGATGCAATGCCTATGAATTTCTGTGATTAGAATGTTGGAAGCCTATATGAAGGAGTGGTGTGCTCTAGACGGACATCCTTATGATGGAGTCTTTTGCTAAGGAAACTACACAGCAGGGCTATAGTCACAATGCACAGTTGTCAGATAGAATATGACTAAATGTGTTAACATGGGCATAATGATATAGTGAGACATCAAAATTGATTTAATACAACATACTTAAACCCTGTACCTCAAGCAAAAACATTCTAATAACAGGTTAACAGAAGAAAACAAACCAACAAACTGATCAATCACCGAGAAAGAAAATACTTAAAAACCTGAGCTTCTAAAAATACCACAAAATGTTGGGAAAAAAAAAGGCCTCCTTATATAACTGGGCTGAAGTTAAATGCCTCAAAATTATCATAAAAAGCTGATGAAAAATACACAAGACAGTGTCAAATGAAAACTCTAAAAAAAGGAAAAACTTGGGTACTTCACTCCTAAGAACGGTAGGGGAAAAGAGTAGAAAACAGAAGTTTCCTGCAACAAAACTTCCAAGGGAGTTGAATGGTATGGCATACTAGCTTTTAAAACACTCACTAAAAAAAATCCCTCTAGAAGCAAACAAACAGGCATGAAAAAAACCAGTAATAATCACAAAAGAGGAAAACTATGACTATTAGGAAAACAGTTTCCTTAACCAACAAATGGCCCATACTAATAGTACAATGATCTCAAAGAAAATGAACCTATCTAAATCATCCTAAGAACAGTAGGTAAATGGATAAGAAGATAACCTTAAAGGACCCTGGCAGCAGGAAACAACAAAAATGGAAGATCAAAGTTAAACACAGTCGAATTTCAAGGATAAAAGAAAACAAGCTTATTTGCTACATTTCACCGAGTAAACTCAGCATCATCAGGAACACAGGTCACAACAAAATGCTACTAAAGAATATGTGCATGCAACACAATGACTAACTAGCAGAAGAGATATGCAAATGGAATTTCAACATTAAAAATCAAAGGGATCTGGTGATGGCGTATCAAATAAACTGTTTCAGGATCTTTGGATACGAGTCAAGTTGCTTTTTGTTTTATTGTGGAGTTTTATTATCCTATGAAGAGTCACACTTGCTGGAGACAGGGACCAGAAATAACAGATGTGATATATTTCATCTCCGGCTAAACAATGAATGACAGATAATGTAACCTTCCACACAAAGCATTAGTAAAATAATGCATTGGGTGATACTTGAGAGATTGAAAAACCTTATCCACAGAGGAGTATAGAATGAGGAAACCCAGGAAAAAAAGCCCAGACACATATCATGAATGCAGAATATGGAGATACTTTTTACTACATTTAAAAACCAGAATACACATAAGAACTGAACATTATTTCAAAACCCATCAGAACCAAATATAAAAACGCTATAAAACTTGACTTTTGGTAATTATGTAAGTACTTCAAGCTTACCTTCTGAAAATGTTATACCAAGAACAACACCAAAACCTGTTATGGCCAAAACATCATCTATACTGGCTGCTGCAATCACAAGAGTTGGGATGCCTTTATTCACACCAAGTTTTTTATCCTGAAGATCCAACATACTTGGTACAACAACAGCTGGAGAAACTGCTGCTAGGACAAAACTAAAAAAATTTCATAAAATAAGCCATTATAAACCAACAAAACATTACATATTTTAGCTAACCTCGTCTTCAAAGCCTGTTTTATAATTCCCCCCACTTCTTCCTTTATTTTAATGTAAATTACATAAACATGTTTCTTTATATTTCTATATGTTTTTTAATAAAAATTAAGTCTAAAATTTTTAAATAGATGCATTTTTTTTTAATTCTAAGCTTTTAATCTACTTAACATATATAGAAAGTAATGTAATAGAATAATGTGGAATGTTAACATATACATACATGGTTAAAACATAGCATTATTTAAGTACAAGAAAGGCTGGTAATTCAGCATCTTTTGAAAATTATCTAGAAACCAGCAAACAAATAAGTACAAAGATGAGTTTTTACTTATGCTGTGAAAGAAAGGAATAAGTAACAAATGGTAACATGCAGAAGCCATTTTCAGAGCACGTTATGTTTAACATATTTGGTTTGAACTTCAATAATGGCCTTACTGTATTGACAGGCTAAATGTGTATGTAGACTAAAATGTTTCATAGAATTTCACCTTTCATAAGTTCTATATTCAAGAAATACGACCAAAGAATGTAGTAAAAGAAATAAAGAAATTCTTTCATTTCTTCATTGAAAAGTTATCAAATCATAAATAACATACATGGTTCACTACAATAAAAAGAAGTAAACTACAGATATTCCCATAAGTCAGGGAATGTCACATACATTACTTTGGTTTCAACACAACTATACAGCCAAATGTTCAATCACTACATAAGCAAAAAGAAATCACATTAGACTGCTCAGCCTTTTACACATTCTTATCAGATTTACAGATTTCTGGATGATGAGAGGCAAAACCTTATCAGAAATACTATATATATATATATATTACAAAACTTTTAAAAGTTATGACTTGAATGCTAAATACTAGCAAAAGCAACATCCCATTCTTTGTTAAAGTTTGTGTAGTTATTATAAACAATTTCAAAAAGCTGATGATGTAAATATTATATGTTGTGTTTATTCAGTATTGTATCTAATTCTTTGAGACACAGTAGGTAACATTGTATTAACAAATCAAGCTGTTGAGTGATACTTCAGATTTTATCAATACAAATCTAATATATTTGACATTCCATAAGAAAAGATTTATATTTGTTTTACAATACAATTCATACATGAAAAAAAAAGGAATTAAAAATTGTACTGAAAACAACACCAAGGTATACAACTTTTGGAACATGTTTTGACACCATATCTGAAGTTGTTTTCACTATTATGGTTATATTAAGATATTATTATGAACTACATCTAACTATTAGTTTATTTCTATACAAAATTTAACTTACCCAAGGATGAATCCCCATAGCCATGGAAATCCAAGCAAAAGATTAGAGGTTACAGCAACTGTCACAGTTTCTACTAAGCAAGGCGTAAAGGCCAAACGGAAACAGACAAGACTTAGCTTACGAAGAGTACCTGGATCAAGACCCATTCCTGCTCGTAGCAAAATAACTACTAATGCTACACTTCTGAAATAAAAACTTAGCAAATTAAATTGTTAAAAAGAAGATATATCTCACTGAAATTAAAAATAAAAAGATTAGACAAACATAAAAAAAAATTGCCAATATTATTTCTGCATTACAACCTAAAACTAATTAATTCTATAAAAAGAAAAAAAGTTTTATGCATTTCTAACAGTTTAAAGCACTTTCTTGGGGTTGTTTTTATAATAAAGAAAATAGTATATATAACTGTAAAAGCAAAGAATCAATATGAACAACTTGAATAAAACTTGGTATTATACTGGAAAGAAGGCTTGATGAATTGGAATGATAACTAAATTATTTGGAACATGAAGTTAGTAAAATCTAATAATTATGTAAGTGTAACAAAATTCTACTAAGTATAACTATTTCAACTTTAGTGATGGTGGATGTGCCTTAAGTGTGTTAGCTGAAATTGGAAATACAAAGAAGTATTCCAAATTGCAGATGTATAATAAAAGTGCCTGTGATTTACTATCAACATATTCTATATATTTTCTTTAAAATGATTCATCATCAAATACACATGAAATTACTCACTAATCTTGAAGTTGCTTTACACTGAACTAGATGCAAGCATCTCACAAAAAAATTATTCAACAAAGATCACAGTAGTTTACTCAGCTGCACAAACTTAAAAAACTTTAGATTAAAAGGGTGAAAACTAAAGATATATAGATTTACCTGTTATAACAAATAAATCATAGATTTAAAAACTTAAACTTTTTTTTAAAAGAAAACATAATATCACGCTTGAAAATCACATCAAGATTAGCACATATATTTATGTTTATTATTGCCCAAAAACATTCCACAGCATTTAAAGTGAATTACTTATTTTTTCTGACATACAACTCAGGTATATTCTAACTCAGTTACAAAATAATTCATTAAAATAGTAAAACAAATAATTAATTAAAAATTAATTTATTATTTAACTTCATCATTCCCAGAGGGATAATTCCCCCAAGGAAAAACTTGTACCATTCAATAAAAAACTTTGTACAAATAAACCTGTAGCTGTTCTTCAACATATTTAAAATAAAAAAACACTTAAGAATTGTACTTTGTTAGATAAAAGTTTTATCTATTTAACTTTATACATAAACAATTTTTAGAGTTAAAAGATTTTATTTTGTGTTGATTTCAATGCACTCCAAACTTCCCTGAGTATAACTCGGAACTCTTATCAACTAGGAGGAAAGTCATAATAGTTTTGAACACAATAACATTATATGACCTTGTAATTAGAATACAAATGCAGTTTTATCAATTTTTTGCCAATTGTTATTTCTCAACCTCAAATGTCATGATATGATTGATGTAAGTGCTTATATCTCAACTTTGAGAAGCTATTGATTAGCAATCTAAACATGTAATGAAAGTTTTTTTTCAACTGTATAAATAAATGTGTCTTCTAGTTCAGTGGAGATTTGCATAGACTGTAATAAAAGTTTAGCTTGGCAGTATGTTGCCAGAAGAAAAGATGTTTCCACCATTTTATCATTTTATACTTCATTGGAATTATGATGATGTGGTATGACAGGAAATGTTTTTCATGAAACAAGATGAAGTAGATTTACTCAATTTTGAACTCAATTATTTTGTTGATAAGACTGCTGTATTACACCTTATAAGCCTAAGTAGCAGCTTGAATAGGCTAAGAAAATCATTAAAAAGAAACTTATAGAAATTATCATAACATGATTTTAAAACTTATTACATATATTAAACAAAATCTTCCAATTAACAATATTTAAAAAAGCTGGCTTACATATAATTTGGGTATAATAATAATAAAGTTATTGTTTGTATGCCAATGATCATGAACACAGTGAAACTCTGTGAAGTGTTTTTCAAGTCAAAACAGATTAATTTACAGTTTCTATGTTATTAAGACAGGCTAAGTTTGGGAGTGATTACCACTTTTGGATAAAAAATTTTCAGCACCCAAATAAAAAAAATCATGATATGAAAGAGTTAGGTCAGAAATCAAAACAATACAAAAATAATAATAATAAAAGTGACAACTCTGCTTAGATATTATTTCTATATGATGTCTTTTGGTATTTTGTTTTACCCCCACAACCCATCTGAGTATATGAACATAAATGTCTTCTACATGGAAATTTGCCTCATTTGTGCTCAATTACCACTGCCCATTGTAATTTTCTGTATTAACCTCTGGTTTCACAAAGGCATAAAAATCAGTAATTAAATCTACAACAAAGGTAAGAATTTTTAATTGTTTAAATTAAAAAACATATCACAAGGAAATCTTTATGAATTTTCAAACTGTAAATTCATAGACATATTACATAAAAAAAATATATTATCAGAAGCTATATAACATTTAGAAAGTTCATCTAAAGTTTCAAACTATTTCATCCATTTAAATGTATTAAAACAAATTATACAACAGATTCATCGAATCCACTCATCTGAAAGTTAATTGAATTGTCCTTAATGTTTTACTGCATATGGAAAATATGGCTAACAGACTAAAGAATTTGTTTGATTTTAAAAGGTAATAAAAAAGTAAATAACTTAAGGCTTTCTGATATAAATAAACAGATCATAAGCAGGATAAAAAAAAAACCAAAGTTCCAACCAAACTAATTTGATACTTAGAGAGGCTCAAGTGCCATTTTTCAGTGTCATGACAACTCATGTATCATCTAAGTCATGTCTGACCAATACTACATGTGTCATCACCTCTAACATAATTCATGTGTTTTATGTTTGTGGGCTTATCTCAGACACTGACAAAAGTCTGTATGTGTGTCCACTTATAACTGATGAACCACTGGACAAACTGCTACCAAAACTTCAATTTATTCTTTTAATTTTAAAATTCTTGAAATCCATGAAATGAGAATGAAAAATGTTTAACTTTTTTTAGAATTTACAATATATAATTCTGAATGTTTTTAGTTAATCTGCTGAACACATTATATTTTTTTATGTAAGTGACATTTTCTTTTTCCTAACTGGACATGACTGGACAAAGTTCCTTAAACATATTGTGGAGATCAGTTTGGAGTTAAAAATTAATTTCACGAATAAGCAATCCTATGAAAGTGCAGTTGCAAATTTTACAGTGCAAAATGTAAACCTATAAAGCTTGTGTTTTTTGGTTGGATGTCTAAATTAAATGGCCAGAATTAAGACTGGGAGTTGGAAATAACCTTACTGCTTATTGTCCATCAATTAAAGTCAATAAAACCAAGTGTGTATGAATTATTACCAATACTTCTATTTCAAGTTAACTGTTCCATTTTTATTTATTTTTTCAATCTACTCCAAGCCTCCCTTGCCACCAACATTCACTGAAACTTTTAAGTTCCAATTAATAGAAACTCAGATCCTTGTATTAATTAATACGAGCTGTAGAAAGTTACAGAACACATAGTAACAATTATAAATACCACATGTCATTAAATCACAAAACTTATTTAATGGCAGGAATATGTAACAATACTTTATAATTTCATCACTAACTGGATGACACTATGCATGATATAATTTCCTACTGCCCAAATTAAGTAGATTAGAGAAACAGGAAGTTTAACTTAAATCTATATTTTGCCCTGTTTTAGGAATAATAACCAATGATCACATTCAAGATACTCTTATGGACTTAAAAAAACTATAAGCCTAACTATTAAAGATAAAAGTATGACAGACTTAAAAAGGTGAGAGGGGAATCTCACAAAACTTGTTTTAAATGTATACATCGAAAAGTGGTAAGATCTGTATTCAAGGAGAAGAACCCATAATTATAAACCCCTCCATTTAAAAAATCTAGAGTTTACTTTACGAGACCATTATGAAAACAAAGTAAAACATGCTTGAATGTCTACTGTATTTAATTTTTCAAACTGTGCTTTATTTCAGTTTCCAATTTATTTACACAAAATATGAATAAGGAATATAACTTTCTTTAAAAGAAATTTTCTGAGATCAGCATTTTTATGATACAAACTAAATGACATCAATAATATAGCTACAACAGTTCAAAGACATTACCTTAAGTCTGATGTCCATTTTGGATCCAAATCTTCAGCAAAATTGATTTTAGGGATATTTCTCAACATAAAACCCATTATTAACATACCTAAAATTGATAAAATATATAAATATACTTAAAAGAAGTTAAAGAAAATTAAGCTTTTACTGTTTATAAATAAAATATTTAAAAAAAAAGCTATTTTCATAAGTATATGATGCGTGAAACAACAAACTTTATATAGATAGAGATGTTTGTTTTCTGAAGCTTTCTTCACAGCTCTTTAACTAACACCCCTATTATACAGACTCATCTAACTGGTAGCTACACCAGTTCACAGCATTGTCCTTATTATTCTTATTCTGAAAATTTTGTAACAGTTCAAAAAATAATTTCAATAAAAATAAAATTCAAATCCTTCAGCACAGTTAGAATGGTTATAAAAATAAGCTTACTTATGTGAAAATACCTTTCTAAAACATTACTCTGAAGTAGTGTTACCATTTTTACTGCAGATAAAATTAAAATCTTATGATTTAAACAAACAGAATAAGCTGTACCAAACAATTTTCTATATGGATTGTTTACTCACCAAGCAGTGAAGGTAAATGAAGAAGAGTTATCAGCTCTCCAGCAATATGGCACATCACAACAATAATAAACAAACTAAAGATATGTCCACCAGGAAGTGCTAGAGAATCTACTAATCCTACTAGTGTTCCATAAAAAAGGACAACAACTACAGTCAAAGCCAGATAATTGGCAAAAATTCCCCTTGGAGGCCACCATGCTATTTTCTTCTTTCCCTTATCATCTTGGCCATCACCTAGTTGAAACAAAAATATGTGGAGATGTTTTTTTTTTTTGGCTTTCCTCCTTTGAAGAAGAGTCATATAAAAATTCTTCTGACAAATATTATACGCAATTTTTAAAATGTACATAGATCATATATAAAAAACTTGTATGAATGGGTATTATAAAAAATACATGATGATGGAGCAGATACTTTTCTTGTCAGAAACTACATGCTTTTAGAATTAGCTAAGTAATTAGCTTAACCATCTGCACAATTTTCTCATGGATACAAAGCTCAAGAGGCCATTGAAATGAACGCGATTTCAGACAAGAGAGGACATTATGGCTGCAACGACAGCCGAGCTAAACTCATTTCGAAAGAGGCTTTCTCGGAATGCTTCCAACAATGGCGGCACCGCTGGGAGAAGTGTGTGGAGTCCCAAGGAGACTACTTTGAGGGTGATTAGGTTTCCAATGCTCCAGGTATGCCAGTTTTTATTCCCCAGCCAAAGGTCTGATACTTTTCTCACAGGCCTCGTATATACATAGTTACAAAGTAGTTATCTGTCTATTTACTGATTCTATGTTTAGAGTAGTTGAATCTACCACGTATATACATAGTTACAAAGTAGTTATCTTTCTGTTTACTGGTTTTATGTTTAGAGTAGTTGAACCTACCTCATATATACATAGTTACAAAGTAGTTATCTGTCTATTTACTGGTTTTATGTTAAGAGTGGTTGAACCTACCATATACATACATAGTTACAAAGTAGTTATCTTTCTGTTTACTGATTCTATGTTTAGAGTAGTTGAACCTACCACATATATACATAGTTACAAAGTAGTTATCTGTCTATTTACTGGTTTTATGTTTAAAGTGGTTGAACCTACCATATATATACATAGTTACAAAGTAGTTATCTGTCTATTTACTGGTTTTATGTTTAGAGTAGTTGAACCTACCATATATATACATAGTTACAAAGTAGTTATCTTTCTGTTTACTGGTTTTATGTTTAGAGTGGTTGAACC